AACGGAAAAAATGATAGTCTTGCTGGCCCAGCATCCTCAACGTTGAAAAATGCCCCGGTCCGAAGTGGTTAAAATGTTTAAGGTGACTGTATCAACATGTCATACGAACTATAATAGTCCTTTTTGCTGCTTTCGAATTCAGTGGAAATGTTACATAGTCTTCTTGGGTATGTCCCAACTGGAGCACAAAGTCTCATGTAGAATTCCATTCTTCTATACTGTTAGACATCTTTGTTTACTGACTTTGTTATCCACTTTCCAAATTCCTTCATGACATGTGAATACCTTTCTGTTCATTGTTGTTTTTCTGCCAGTTTAAACCAACTCATGTCAAGCAGTTTGGCAAACTGGTGGAGCCTGAGCCAGACGAGAAGAAGCGTAAAGAGACCCTGCCGTACTTTGCACGCTTCACTCAAGACTGCACTGTGAAGGAAGGACGATTTGCTTGTAAGTCCTTACGTGATTTCCCCACCAAGAGAATATTGTGGCATTATCACAGCTGTCTTTAGTATGCCTTAGCTCGAGAGCCTGTTTATTTATCAGACTTAAGATTCTTTGATTGGTCAACCTTTGATAGAACTACTGTTGGTCTGTACTAGGCATTTGCTCACATCAGGTATCTGTCTTGAGCAGGAGCACTCCATCGCTGGTTGAAACAAGCCATGTTGGGGGGAAGTGTTCACTTTGTTGGTAGTGACACGACTGTACATTTCGTTATCAAGGAGCCTCCATTGTGAGGAAAGCTCTCTTAACCTCTCTTGGTCCTGCTTTGGGGCAGATTGCAAAAGGCAAGCTGGCAACCAATGTGAACATGTTATATCTAGTCTCTGTGTATTGATGAAAGAGAGTGGTGTGCCACCTTGCAGTTATGTCCCTTGAGTCCTGTACATTGTGTGCATACATAGCCTCATAGCCTCATACATGCACGTGAAACATCAAAAGCCTGGTTTAAGTCCAGGTGGATTGCAACAAAGGTAGTCAGGTGTCATCCTTATCTCCTTTGTTACCTCGAGTTGGGGATGGGGGGGTTCATGAAGCTCATATCAGGGTGTGATTAATTTGTACTCCACGATGACATACTTCTCACACATTAGTGGTGCTTCCATATTGTGGTTATTTCTCTCCTATGACCATTAGATGCTCAGGATGTAGAAGTCAGAAGTTATCTCCTTCGAGCAGGAACAAAAGAGGGTGTGTTTTGAAATGAAATTGACAGTCATTTGATATGCACTCACCACATAGGTGCACAACTTCATGCGCCTGTGACGCAGAGCACGCTAAGCACGTACAACAAATTTAGTCTGGATTATATGGTCTTCTCGTGCACGCCGAATGCATTTGGAAAGCTGAGTACCATCTGTCTTTCTTTCGCCAGTGAGGGTGCACTTCAGCTCAGAGCGGGTAGCTCTAGCATCTCATTTTTTTTCTTCCTCATCAGCTTTTGACTGCGTAGTCAAGGGTGAACCAGAACCCGATGTCTTCTGGGAGAAGGACGGAGTCCAGCTGGAAGAGACGGCCCAGATCAAGATGGAGTTTGGTGACGACGACTCCTGTATCCTTAACTTCACCCCGGCTAGGCTCAACCTGTCAGGCACCTACGTCTGCAAAGCTGTGAACACAGTCGGTGAAGCCACCTGCTCTGCTAAACTGACTGTTATTTGTAAGTCACGCATTTGTCTTCCTATTTTTAAACATTCAGGCCAGTTTAATTCTATAAAGGTCTCTCATATTGCCTCTTGTATTGCCTTCCGGGCCACATTTACATTCAGTATTTTAGGAGTAACATTTCTCATTTGGTGTTTTGAAAGTTCTGTGAGATTTCTTAACCCCTTCACTCCGAGAGACAGCAAGAGCCGCGGCTTTGTGTGAGGATTAGTCTGAACAGGTTTTTCTCAAGTTCTAAGTTGACTCTCCGCATCATTTAACTTTGAATTTCAGCTGACTCTAAGATTGTACCAGAGAAGGAAACCCTGGTTTCATCAGGCCGGGTGGACTTGGCCTCGAAGAAAGCCCCACGGTTCACCTGGAACCCAGGCAATCGGATCGTGGATGAGGGAAAACCATTTACTCTGGCGGTGGAAGTCGAGGGAGAACCATCCCCAACTGTCATCTGGTAAGCATTATGAAGTTAGATGAAGGTACACTTTGGGGCCATTCTTGGTTACGTGTGTGACAAAAAATGGGAAAATCCTATAATGGACATCCTTCCTTAGCCTCTGAAAATGGCCCATGTATCATTCCATTATGCCATTAATGTTAGTCTACTGACCCCAGTTTACAGTTTTTTACAATAGTTTTTCTTTCTAACTTGTCCGCTTTGGGTCGGAGGTCAAAATAAAGGTTGGTACATGTGTGACATCAGACAGAAACAGTCCCCAAAGGTTATCATTAAATCACTTTTTTAAACTGGGGTCAGCAGATTAATATAAATGGCATAATGGAAATATACATGGGCTATTTCAGAGGCTAACGAAGTATGTTAATCATAGGATTTTGTAATTTTTTGTCACATGGCTAACCGAGAATGACCCTTTGAAGCTTAGGAAGGACTAAGTGTGAGGTTTTTTGTTGGTTGAGCTTGTTCTTGTGTCTTCATCGTGCAGTGTTGTAGTCGAGACCATCACAAGACCAGACACAAGACCAGTCACAAGACCAGTCTCAAGTAACAGGGTGAACAATGACAAAGGAATGCTCTTGTTTTAGTTCATTTGAATAGCTTGTGGCTTGAATTCAGACTGGAGACTTTGTGTTTCGTTCTTGTGTTGATTGTACAAGGTCTTGACTACCACGCTGTTATCTCGTGATTTTTTTTTCAGGACCAAAGATGGTGAGCGTCTCGGAGACGACTTCTACCGCTTCAAGCATGATGGAGACACACACTCCCTGATCATTGATGATGTCCTGCCTGAAGACGAAGGCACCTACATTGCTACTGCCACCAACCCAGTTGGCAAAGCAGAGTGTACTATCCAAATCACCGTCAATGGTAAGTTCTCCTCCATTTCTCAATCATCAAATGCTGTAAGTGCATATTCACAGTTTGTAGATTTTGTCAGGTTTTGCCTCCTCCATGAGTGTCATATTCCTGTCCTGAATGTATTCTGTGTTATGTGTACAATATTCCACAGTCTTTATACCAGGATAAATTAAATGTTGTTCTTAAGATGAACATCAGTTTCTTCATTTTACATGGTTAATTCTTTTACCACTGCTCCTGCTTTCCTGAACCTGCTTCCAGTGCCATGAGAAAGATAATACAGCAATGCTACACAGCGTATAAAAACCAACGTCACAAACAACACAACCAACAACATTCTGTGTTCTATATTCTTGCCTCAGAGGCAGGGTCGTCGCCCCATTTCACCAAGCCCCTCCAGGATGTGGAGGCCATCGAGGGTCAGCGCTTGCAGCTACAGTGTCTCCTCACCGGCGATCCGCTCCCCACGGTCAACTGGTACAAGGACGGGGAATGCATCGATGACCATCCAGACTACGAGATCAGCCGAGACAAGCAAGGGGTTTGCATGCTGGACATTGACGAGATCTTCAAGGACGACTCTGGGAGGTTCACTTGCATTGCAAAGAATGAGTTCGGTAAAGCTGAGACCACATCCAACATCACTGTCACCTGTGAGTACAATGTTGAAATAATAGATGAGCATGTTTTGGTGTTGACATATCATTTGAGTTCATGGCACCTGTTGTACTCATTCACATTTATTTCTCAGTTACCTCAAGTTTACGTGAATGAAAATTTTCCTCTGAACTTGTCAATGTACTTTCATTCAAGATTAACATGAAATTAAGGTTTAAGTGCCGTATTAGGTAAAAATGGTCTGACCACCATTGGGTCTTAAGCTGTGGAACTATTAGTATATCTTACCACTCCTGTGATGATGTGTTATCTTACACCCCACAGCTGTAGATGCAGACAGACCACCAGAGTTCATCTCCCAACTCCATCTAGCCATGCCTCTAGTGGAAGGCAAACCATGCCAGCTGGAGGCCCAGGTCGAGGCCAAGCCCCCTCCTAGTGTCTCCTGGTACAAAGACGGTAAAGTTATCCGGAACAAACCTCGCTACAAGGCCTCATTGGAGAGAGACACTGCCAGATTGGACATACCAGATGTTCTGCCTGAAGACGCTGGAGTCTATGAGTGTGTGGCTTCCAATCCTGCGGGAACAACAAAGTCAACAGTGGATTTGAAGATTCCCGGTAACATATCATTATATTTGGTAAAATCAGAGTACATCTTTCTTGACTTTTTCAAGACTCGAGGTGTTTACATTTACCATTGCCTTTTTACTTGAGTAGGGATGTGCACTTTTGGAGTGTGTTATTCTTTCTGGTAATGAAATCAAGGGGTCCCCAAATTGCATGGGCACAGAAGCTTGGGAGTCTCAGGAAACCTGGAGAGTGTAGACAAGGAAACAGTGTTCAGCTGCAGAGGTGGACGGAAAAACCCCATAAATATTCTAGGTTACGTCCGTGAAATCATGTAGAGACAAAACCCCAATATGCATGCAGGCTTGGCTAGGATTTATAATAATAATTAATGATATATTCATTTATAAAGCACAAATTTCATATAGATATGTTCAAATGTGCTGTACAATGAAGACATTAAGTGTGGAACAATGAATACATTTAAACATGGTTGAGACGATGGCATGCAAGGGTGCCTCGGGCAGCCGCCAAATGACCCACGTTCACCAACATCAGTAAAGGGGAGACAGTAAGAAGCAGTTACAGTTTTTTAGAGGTGGGAGGAAAACCCCAGAAGAATATTCTGGGTAAAACCCACGGAGTCAGGTAGGGACTGAAAACCCAATCCACATATGGACCGGGCCGGTAATCGAACCCGGAACCACAAGAGGTGGAAGACGAGGAAAGAACTACCTTGCCAACCTCGGTCTCAGAAGTGGAAGTGCCACTAATGCTATCTTAACACCCCTGTGTTTGGATAAGTACAGATTCTTTTTTCTAAGACATGATCCAAACAAGACAGCTCCAATTAATCTTGAACTCTCTCTGCTGTTTCATCTGTTGCACTTTTTCAGCGTATGACAAGGCCCCTGAATTTGCCACCAAGCCGGAGCTTGCAGAGCCCATGAAGGAAGGCCGGCCCTGCCACATTGAGTGCCAGATATCAGCCAAGCCGGCTCCAATCGTGACCTGGTACAAGGATGGCAAACCCATCAAGGACGGTTGGAAGTACAGGACTTCATACCTGAAAGGCATCGCCTGTCTGGACATCAATGACGCCTTATCAGAAGATGCTGGTGTGTATGAGTGTGTTGCAACCAATCGGCTGGGTACAGCTAAGTCTACTGTGGAAGTCATGGTCCCAGGTAGGGAAACAGTTTCTCTACATTACCTTCCATTTCTTATTTCCCTGGATTTCTCAGAAATCTCAGTCCTGTAGCTTGTAACCCTCAACCTTGACCCCTTGGATGGTAAAAATTATATGTGAATTTTGAGGATTCAGAATTCTTTTTGTTAACACAAATCTGTAAATGGACAGCAAAGAAATGTTCACCATGAAAAGGATCTCTCATAGATTTCTTAAAAGCACTTCCCACGCTATGGCTTGTTTGCCTTAAGAAACCTCTGAAGAGATGACCAGAAAGTAATTAATTTTTTTAAAGTTAAGACACCTTAACCCTAACCCAAAGGGACCATTCTTATAGAAGTATTCTCAGGACCTCGAAGCATCAGTATGGGAGATAAAAAAGCTCTTCAGTGATTTGCCGTTGCTCTGTAGATGTTGACAAGGCCATCAAATTTAGGCACAACCTATTCTTGTAACAATGTCCCATAGGTTATGAGAAAGCAAAGCCACCAGAGTTTGTTTCCAAGATGCAAGTTGCTGAGCCCCTCCTCGAAGGACGACCCTTCCACATTGAGTGTCCAGTCTCTGCCCAACCACCTCCTACGATCTCTTGGTACAAGGACGGTAAGCCACTCCAGAACCAGCCAAGATACAGGACATTGTTCCTGAAAGGTGTGGCTTCCGTGGACATAGATGAGGCTACGCCGGAGGACTCTGGCGTGTATGAATGTGTCGCAACCAATCCACTTGGTACAGCCACATCAACCGTAAAGGTCATGATCCCAGGTAATCATTGACTTTCTTTTATATGAAAAGTCTCTGAAATCAGGGTTGAAGGCTTTGTGTGTACATGACCATGAGATTTTAGCAAAGGCTTTTATAAACATGTAAAAGATTGACTACCATGTCATACTAAACTCCTTTTATTTTTGTTTGTTGGAAGAGATGGGCTAAGTACACTTCTGGGGGAAGAAGTTCAAAAATTGCTGCCATGACTTGTGTAGACGTTTCAGAGGACAGTATTTGCATTAAAATGCGTATAGTTTTGTTAAAAAGACAAAAACATATGGTCTCATATTGTCGGTTTAAGCATTTCTCTTCATTGGAACTGTTTCCTTAGCATATGGCAAGCCACCAGAGTTTGTCT